TATATAAATACTTTCACAAAAGGTATTTATATATAAATACTCATCACTCCCCATCCCACACCCACAAGTCAACCACTGGTGCATCTGTTTGCAATCGAGTGTATGCAAGGCCATTTTTGGGCTCATTTACAGCACCATTCTCCTCTAACAGCTGAATATGGCCCCTCAGTTCCAGCTGCACCATGGAACAGGGCAGGGCAGCCCATGCATTGCCCCACACCACACCCCAGCCTTCAGCAGCAGCAGCAGAACTCCAGGGTTAATGCTACACAAAGCAATTTTTTAGCAGCTAAAATTCTGTAGTTCTGCTAAGTGAGCTAATTGTGAAAGCAGGACTCTCTCCCCAGACAGGCTGTGGGTGGATGGATGTCTCTCCTGAAAGAGACAGCTGGAGAAAATAACAAAGCTGACTTGATCTAGAGCTGCTGGAATGCCCTGCAAGCTGATGGCTGGACAGGAGGGCTCTGAAAGCCCCTCCAGCCAACATTTCTCTTATTCAGCCACCTTCACAAGCCAGCATTTCTCAAACTGGAATTGTAGCTACTTTGCCTACAGCTTCCCAGAGGAAAAAAAAATCACCAGCCTTTAGATACTGGGAGTTTAATGAAGGTACAAACACCTGTTCTGCACACAGAACATGGGTGACAGGGGGAACATCACTCATTTTACTGCAGAAAAACACTAGGTTACTACAAGAAATCCAGAAGATTATTTTTCTCCTCCCCCTTATCCAAGAGCACCTGCTCTTTCTTTTCAAAACCAACCAGAAAGGGCCCAAGGAAGGAAACACAATGTTTATCACAATGGAACAGCCTGGTCTGCTGGAAGATGCCCTTGTCCATGGCATGGGGTGGAACTGGATGGGCTTTAAGACCTAAACCACCCTGGGGTTCTGTGATTCAACAATAAATCTTTGGGTCAGAATTATCTGCCTGGTCAAGGGCATGAAGCCAGTGACACCCAAATCGTGTCCTTCAGCCAGATGTCCCTGGGACTGATGCTTTGTGAAAGCTGACCTAGAACAGAGACTGAACAGAGCTAAAGAATAAAGCAGGAATTTATTAGGAGGCCTTAATGGACCCACTTTGGGTAGTACAAGAGCCCAGCCAGGGATATACCCAAGATGAACCAAAATGGTCACAAAATGCTCCACCAGTCATTGGGTCTCACACCTTTATAAGTTTTGGTCTAATAGCATATTGGAGTTAATTGTCCAATTCCAGCTTTAGCCCATGCAGTCCCATCCTTGTTTTTCTCTCTTCAGCCCACATTGTTTATGCTCTTGGGCCTGAGATTTGGATCATTTGTCCTTTGTGAAAAATGTGTATTTTATGATTGGCTTTTTGCAATTATCAAAATGAATATTATATATGTGTTATGTTAGAAAGTTATGTTAGATTAATTTTTTTAGTAGTGTGTTAAATATAGTTTTAGGTTATAACAAAATGTTAAAACAGAAACTATGCTATGGAAGATACTTTTTAAAGAAAGGACTCTCAGTGAGATAGCAGCCACAGGACACCTAAATCTTTCAGAGAAGGAGAATTTACTGCTCCATTATCAGAAGAAACGAACTTCTTCCCACTTTGCTCAACAATGAAGAT